TATTGCCTTAGCTTCCCAGAACACAGATATTATAAGACTTTTTCTTAATTATTATACTAAAAATAATTTTAAAAAGACTGTATGATTTAGGTGTGTAACAATTAGGAACATATAATTTCAGATAAATTTTAATATAATTAATATAATTTCAAATAATTAGTTACCAATTAATGAGTTTAATTCATAACTTGAGTATAAAACTTTCGTAATTAAAGTACATTTTTTCATCGTTTCATATTATTATTATTTATTATACGTGTAAAACTAATATGGCACATGTATATGTTACTTTGAATGTCTGCAATTGGTGAATGTCCACATTTATACGTAGTGATTTAAGATTTTACTGATGGTTGTCGGTTGATAGTATAAAATTTGTTTTATTTAAATGTAAATATGAATTATCATTTTCTTTTTTAAATAATTGTCATAATAAATTAAAAATATTAATATGATCATATGGAATCAAACAAAATGATACAATATTAATAAAGTATAAAATATTATATATTTACATAAGGACATTGATAATTTAATGTAAATGCATAGCATATTATTTTAAATAGATTCTTCAAATTTATAAATTTCATAAAAAATAAAATGTTTTATTTGAGGCGACAAAGGAGTTGAGACATAAATAACTTATAAAGAATGACATCATACGAATGGTTATTATCTGATTTTTTATTTAGCTTACGTTTTCGCGAGAGTTACAATTCCTTCATGAATCGTACATAGAATTTTCTATAAAAAAAAAATTAGCGTTGCATATAAGTATGTACCTACATACCTTCATATTATAATTGACACGCGTGCTGAAAGAGAATGATAATAAGTGATAACATTTAGTAACATAATATTTTATCGTTGTATATTGAGTTACAAGTACAGAACATTAGATTTTTTTAGTCACGTGTATTCAAAGAAATCGGTTGTCCAAAATCGAGGTTCATGTTTTAAATATAATATTTTTGTTTTAAACAAGCATTTTTCATGCAGAAATGCAGAATATACATCGATATCGTGTTGCTTTGGCTTTTGGGAATAATCAAAGTGCATAATGTAAGTTGTATTCACACGCGTGATATAATATGCGCGGCATTTTGTGCGTATAATAGGCACACCATAAAATAATATTTATTTCAATAATATTACTATTACATATAAATATAATATAGTTATCATCCTGTATTTTATATTATATATTTATTTTGTACATAGATTGCCAAATATAATTAGAAATGCGATACATAAAAATATAAGATGTACAATGTATATGCATACACAACTATATTTGAACGTAAAGGCTGTCCGATATATTCGATTTTTGAAAATCTTTCGTCGTTTTACCAATAGCAATTGGTATCGTTATAATGAGTTTATATTCAGCTTTATAACATACTTATAATAATAAAATGTGTTCTATTTACTCTTATAAATTATACATGTGATGGAGTACTAGACAATAAAATTTGAATCGATATACCAAACACAATAATTATTTTATGGTTTACTGTAAATGTTTAATATAATTTCAGTAATTTCATTCCGTAGGTTAGAAATTTTAAAAAGTTCAGTTAAATAGTTTAAATGCATTTTTAACTATCTAATTAAATACTATTTTTTTCGTGTTCCTATTTTAAAACTTTAATAGATTTTAATTAATCGCATTTCTAAAAGACTAGAACAATTTAAAAATGTTTATTGTTTCTATAACCTTAATTTTTAAAAAAAAAAAACACAAATATTGAAGTAAGTAATAGGAGTCATTAATAATAATAATTTGTTTGCTATTTGTTGCTGTTACAATATTACTTTTTATACTATTGTATTTTTTTCAAATCATAATTTAATATATTGAGAAATTGATAAATTATTAAATACGCAAGTACAATTTAGTACAAATTAAAAAAAAAATAATAATATAGGTTGTTATATTATTCTATCTTCTATACGAGTATGTTAAGTTTTTATATATATTTTCGTGTTTTATATAATCGTAATAACGATTATTATGTATATGATACATTTAATTATGAGTTAGATTAACCAAAAATATTAGTATACAATTTTATGTTGAAAGTAATAATTATCATATTTTAATACATTTCTGATCGTACCATATTTTACACATGTCGTAGTTAATTTCTTTTTTAGTATTAATAATTATTATTTGCACTACTTGCAGACTCTGTATTAAAAAAATTATGATAAATAAAAAAAATGATATAAAAGTTTGTGATAAATTGTATAGATAAATACTTACTTAAACAAGAAAAGTATTTTAAAATGCCATTTGAAATTATTGAAAAAAAAATATACAAAATTATATTACAAATATAGTATTATTATAAAATATGTATACTGTAACGACTAGCGTGTAATAGGAATTCCGAATTACAAAAGGAAATGTACAGATTAACACGTTGTAGATTTACATTAAAGGTTAGACATTTAGATGACCAAAAAAAAAAAAACACTAATAAAATATAGAAATATTTATAGAGTCGGAGAGAAATATGTCATCTGTCTCAATTACTGATTTAAATTTATAGTTTTTAATAAATAAAATAACAGTAATTGAAACAATTATAATGAATAATGATATATAAATGTGTTCCTAGGCTATATATTATATTCGTATCTATTGATCATCAAAATTTAAATTATAATATTTTATAAAGCCATTGTTTTATTCGTCATTAAGTGATTTAAAAAGACGTTGATTTCCTTTATATAATATAAATAAACAAAAACTGAAAATTTCGTATACTTTTAAATAATCCTATGATGTCTAGAAATTCGAAATGGGGAGTGCTAGATTTTATTCCGAAAAAGTATAACGATAATTTTAGTACTTATAGTTTATTAATATAATATATCATGTATGTATTTATTGTATAAATAAATATATGATATATTATGATCCATCCAAAGGTATTCATGTGGTCTTAGTCTCTTCCTGAATCTACGCCTGCATATACCAAAGATATAGAACGTAACAAAAGAATAATATTTTATACATAACACTATCATAAATAATATTTTACGTAGAAAAAATAATTGAAAGTTTTAATAATCTATTTTAGCTATTTATAAGTGAACAAGCATAGTACTAGTTATTGATAGAACATGTTGTACAATGACGATTAGTGTTCGAATATGTGATTGCATTTGTCTATTTTAATTGCTTTTGCTTAGATATTATATTTATTTCTAAATTATAAGATAATATATTATAATTTGCTAATCATACAATTATTTTATTATCCTATTGTATTATATATACGATATTAATAGTATACGTACAACACGGAGTTTTTTTTATTAAAAAACTAAAGAAATCAATCTGCTATACAATAGGTTTTGAGTGTATAAAAGTCATTGAGTAAATTATTGTAATAGGTGTGTTCAATTTAAATAGCATAAGAAAAATAATTCTCAGCGGAGACAGTACATCAACTATCAGTATCTACTTCTAAGAATGTTTAATCATTTACATAAGTACATTAATTTATTTGTAATATTACAATTATTAATTTATTTTTCTATTGGTATAAACCGTGATATGGTAAACTGAATTTATTTTAACAAAATAATCGTATAAATTATAAAAAAAAAGCATTAAACGTACGATAATATTATACCTATTATATATTATTGTTATTAACTTAAAAATCAATACTAACGTATATTATAATGGCGTAAGGACAACTTATTAGAACAATTGTATTAAAAATTGGGATTTTAAGCTTTTTTGACATGATAAAAACATCATGCATAGAACGAAAAAAAAATAAATAATTCAAATACCGATAGAAAAAATAAAAAGAACTTGTCTACAAAATGCATAACATTTGATAAAAATGTCAAGCCTTTACAGTTATTTTTTCTTAAATTGTAATAAAAATACAATGTCGATTATGTAATAAACTAAAGTTTCAAAAATATTCTCGTTCTTCCATAATTTACTTAGAATACATATTTATTTTTAAAGATAATTTTTAAAATGACTGGGAATTTGCTTTACTTGACTCCTCAATTTAAATTAACTGTATAACATTTTTTGTCTGACACCATTCATAATATTCAAAACCAAAACTTTTTTTCTGATATAAAATATTTTCACATACATATAAAAAAAAAATTCGTTTAGAATCGAAAATGTATAGATTAAACATAAAAACATTATTTAAAATTTTAATTTTTGACTGTTTTGTGAATTCGTGATCAATAAACTATTTGAATGATGAGTTAATAATACTATAAAATGGGTATTAATAATAAGTTAATTTGTTACTTCAGAGGAAACGAAAAACTGTCTAGTTTCTGTACATGCCATATTTAATAACTATTTCATATTTTTAAAACAATTCAAGTTTAGAAAAATACATTTATAAAATGTTGATGTATTCTTATCGGATTGTTGGTTAAAATACAGATATCGTGTGACTTAATAAAATTACCGAATTTGGGTATAATTACTAGGTACTAGGTAGGTACTTATATTTTCTTTTTTCATAATTTCTAATCACTGCATAAAACTATCCCAAGTAACTACCAATTTAACGATAAGTATTATAAACAATACAACCATAAATGTATAAAATATAAATAAATTTGGGTAATATATAATATTATATTAAAGGGATTCGATTCAGATTGTTTTCAAGAAGTTCAGTATAGGCAATATCCAATGTGTATGTGGGTACTGCGTAGTGAGTACAATTGTAAATCAGTAATGACATAAAATAAGCTTTACACACATATTAATTATTTTGTTTTTTTGTAAAAATATCAATTTTTACCAATTGTAAATAATAACCTATTTATAAGATAAAATTTCTGAAGACATATTTAAATTCTTTGTCACGAAATTTACTTGAAAACCACTTTCTTACATTTAAATATTTTAATAATATTTAGGAACTTCAACATTTTTAACGTTCGGTTAATATTGTGCCCGCAATTTTAGTAAGTCGTATTTCACATTTACTTACCGTGTGGATCCAAGCAACAACAGGCGTCATGCAATAATTTGTCGGAGCAGTAACTGTATACACTAGAATCGCAAAACGGACAACCGTTGGGTCGTCGTTTCATGTTTAATCTACCGTTTTCTGGCGGTACGTCATTCGGATCATCGTTACTGTCTCCTACATCCGATACTTCAGGTGCTACTTCAGCTTCAACTGATTGGGATTCCTCTGCTTTATTCGGCAATTTTTTATCTAACGAAAAAAATACGGTTTTAATTTAACTTGTTAGAGAAAAAAATTTCCCATGATTTCTTTGTTCAGATATTAATTTATAGTAGCACTGATTAAATATCAATAATGTTCAAAAATGCTTTATTTTATAAACGCTTTAATTTAATTTATATTAAATATTTTTCATCAATCAACATCACTTTTAAGATGTAATTTAATTATAATAATTTTAATAAAAGTAATAGACAATAGTCGTGTTATTTTATAAATATCAATATATATATAAGCTATTTTAAAATCACAACCCTTGGTTCAAATGAATTCCCAAATATAATTTATTTTTATTTTCTTACTTTGAAGTTACATAAATATAATAGGTATGATGATAATATTAACTCGATTAATCTTATTTTGCTCAATTCAATTGAGTTCATATTCAAAAAAAAATGATGCGAGTTTAACCACTATTCAAGTATAAAATTATTTATTATAATAATGATTTAAAAACTCCCAAAAAAAAGTTTGATTTGTTTATAATATAGCAATCATATAATATAGTAGACACAATTTTTAATTCAATAGATTTTATAATGTGCATTTTATATTTTATGAAAATACAAAATTTTCCGTATTTTAAATAATTAAAATTTTTAACTTAATTTAGTAATAATTAATTAATTATTAATTTTTTTTTTCATGTATTTAATTAATACATTCATTATTTCAGAATATTTCTGTATTTTTTTTTTTTTTTGTATTTTATTTTTATTTAATACTTTAAATGTTATAGTTGTTCATACATTCAAAATTATTTCAGTAACTAAGTAAGCAGAAAGGATTTTTTAATACATAATGTATTATATTTTATTTTAAAATACAACAATTATTTTTTAATTAGTTTTTAAGTACATAGGTAATCAAGTGGTCTAGATGTCTAGTATAATATCGTCCATGACATTAGCTTTAATAAATATATAAATGCCTATTTAATGATTCATTGGTTTTTACAATTTGTATTTAACATAATCTAAGTTTGAACATAAATATACAGTTTGTATGAAATGCAATACTACTTGTATTGCTATAACAATCTAACTTAAATTTATTCAAAGTATTTAAATAAGTAATTATTAATAAAATTTCATTCATGGAATTAGTTTATTATTAATTATTTTAAATTTCATCGATTGCCTGAAATATAATAATTTGTTTGCAACACTTACGCAAATGTAAGCTAAGTTACATATATAACTCCTAGTAATATTGTATCATTGGTTTTTATATCATAAATTGACTAATGGATGATCAATTTAATACCGTTTGTCATTCTATACCGAATAATTTTCCAACCGAATAGCTTAAACCATTTTAAGTCTGTATAATTTATGAACAATAAACATAATTATGATAAAATATGCACAGTCTTTATTATCATATTATATTTTTTTATTTTATTTTTGATTTAGGTCACATTATTGAACAATACATAGATTTAATCGACATCTAAGTATAAAAATATATATTAGTATACTAATATATATTGTATTCATGGTACGTTTAACTAAGATCGATTTTATGTAATTATTCAGTAATTTATTTACTAGGCGTCACGACCTGATTTAGTCAATTAAAAAACTGACACAATGAATACTCACAGCTGAATAGTTGCAGCTTTCTTTTTACGTTATCATGTACATAAACGTTAGGCATCAAAAGTCAGTTTTGCATAAATCATAACCTTTTTTAAATACATAACTTAAAATAACCTAGGCTTTATTGTTTATTCCTCGTCTTAGAATTTCTAAAAAGTGTACCTACCTAATTGTTATAATATTTATTTTTAATTAATTTGTTGTTCAGTTTTTAATAGTATATTGAGGTCAAATAGGTTCTTTTAATTTAAATTTTAAAAACGGGTATGGAAGTTTGCCAAATTGTTGATAGTTTAATTTATTCAAAATATTATATTACTGACATTAATCACTTCAAAAAACTGTACATATAACTTTCACCGTAGTAACATATTATGTCTTGTGCCTTGTACCTATGCTAGTTTTTTACAAAAATTCATTGAAATAAAAATATTTTAATAAAACATAAAATTTTAAATGTTTTATTACCATATTAATTATTAGGTGTTTTATTTGTTATAAATTATAACATGATTTAATTTAATTTTACATTAATCTATACACGATCTGTACTTTTCAGCACAATAAGTACTTATATATGAAGATAGAAAAGTTATATATGTATTATTTGATTAAAAAATCATCCATTAGTGACATTTGATTAATAATATAATTTTATATAATAATAAGTTAATTGTTAATAATTAATAATAATAGCAAATCATTTTCTAAAATTATATATAAGCGGCTATTGACACAAACATTTAAAAAATAAAATACTACTGTAAGATTTTTTTTTATTATTGCCAATTTTAAGTTTTAACTATTTGATTATTGAACATACATTTTTTAACGTTAGAATTGTGGTGTTTTAAAAATAAATAAAAATTATTGACGACAATTAATTATCAAAACGTTTAACTAATTTTAAAATAATAATCACTGATATATATTTTTAATATTAATAGTTAAACAAAGAACTAAGGTAGTTTTATAATAATTCATAACCAATGTAATTTCTGTATGGGTAATTGAATTATAATTTAATAAATTTTTCTACTCTGTTAAATTATGCAGTGTACATAGTAGTATATAATTAGATAGGTACCTAGAAATACTATTTGAAATTTATCTTAGCATACTGTTTGATTTAGTATTATTATCAAAATGTAAATTTTTTTGAATAGTTTTAAGTTTTAATTTACAAACAAAAATACCTAAAAAGCTTGATATTTTTCAGAAAAGAGAAAAATATGTTTTATTTATAATTTCAATCATAGTACGTGATGAAAAACTCATATTATGTTAAATATGAATTGTAATTTTATTTGTTATACCTACTGCTCTTTGACCAAATTTAATACAATTTAAAAAAAATAACTTTACAAAAACTATAATTATAACAGATTTTATATATAATAAATTATATCATCCGTTACATTACTTGTATATAAATTAATGTACTAATAAGACAAAACGGATGCGTAATCATAATAATTTAGTGTAAATTTAATAACTATGTAGTATAGTCTGTATAGAATATAATAAATCTATTGAGTTGAAATCTATTTATTGACGCTAAGTAATAAAATAACTATTCAATATTATACCTATCATAGTTATAATGATATGTTTATATAATATGTCAAATATGTCGTTTAAATTGATGTGTAGATAGATACCTACTAAGACTTTTTCTTACTTTGATGAAGACCCGGAGACCTCGTCGATGTAAAATCGATACAAATGTTCACGATATTGACCACCAATAACAATTTTACCAATTTTCGATTGTTTGCCATCGTAAATGGCAGGTAATTTAACTTACAGCAATAAACAAGTTCACAAATTTAGTTTAACAACAGTTATTTTTACAATAATAAACCGACATTTGATAGAATACGAATCGTTTTTTAACTGAAAACGTAACAGAAACAAAACAAAAAATTTTCAAATGGAAAAAAAAATTGAAACTTTATAAATTCACTGAGTCAAACAAATAATTTCTTAGGTATAAGTACACTTTTTCTGTTGTTATAATAATAATATATTATAAAAATGATGAAGACCGTCGCTGCACGTTTAATAATATTGTTATAGTTATACCTGGTATGGTCAGTTAAACAGACACTGTTAATCAACACACTGCCGCCGCAGCGTTGATAGAAGTCACCGGTTTTCTTTCAGAGATCCTGCTTTTTCCCACTAACATAATATTATGCGGCCGATTTAATTAAGACGAAACACTTTCATTCCGTCTATATCGATGGCAATGTTTCCGGAACTGATAGACGAGTGGGGTTTATGCAGTGTTCCGGTTCAGCTGAGTTCAACACATCATGTAACAGGTAGAAAAAAACTCCAATAATATAAAATGACGGAAATTCGTTGAAAAACAAACGTAACAATACACCACCGTTATTATTATGCCACGAACCACATTTATTAACTCTAACACGACCAATATTTACCGAATTACCATAATCATAATAATTCAAATGAGTACCTAATAACGACAAATTCGTTTTTCTATGGAGTAAAAATCATTGATTGTATTTTGAATGTGTAAAAAATGGACCAATACAAAAAATTTGTTTAAAGTACTTATTAATGAGTGTTTTTAGTATCTATAAGTAGAACTTTACTATGTTATATTATATTCGTATAAAAGATTCACTATTTTTAAATTTTCATTTTCAATTAAATAGGTATACCTACTTTGTATATTATAATTTTATTATAGCAAAAACTTATTTTAACTGATCGTGAAATATTCCCCTACTTTTATTTACTATTTAAACGTTACCGCGGATCAGATCAATTTCTCTTCAATTTGAAATGGTTGAATAAGATTTACCTATAAATTTTTTTCGACGAAATTATATAGAACCATAAATTAATTTCCTATAGATAGTGAAGTCTGTTATTATACTCTTGTTACAGCAGATTATATACTAGTTTAACTAGTTTGATAAAATTATTAATATTTAAAATAATATAAGAATAATTACTGTAAAAAACGTGGTCGATTTTTTCTCGATAATTGTATCTTATAGCTTTTAAGTTAACTATAAGCGTATATATTTATATAAAAACATTCTTGGTATTTAATCATCCATCAATTATTTACAAAGTGTGTATTTAATAAAATTCATTAAAATTGTAGAAACTTTTTTTTTTAATAGTTGTGACTTTATGGCATGATATATTATGGATGAATAAATCAATATTTTAAGAGTAAAAGTAATTTCTAGTAGCTTAATTTTTCTATTTTTTGCGCTGAGCTGAATAAATTAAAATTTTAGAGTCTTCTTGACTATAATAGTTATTAAGTATTGTACCTATCTATTGTTTTAGAGTAATAAATTACAGGCAAGGTTGGGTAGTATTTTTGATATAAACATCTAAAATACATGTCTTAAATACAATTGTTTAATTGACTATATGATATAGATTTCAAATATGCAAAAATGACATAGGTACCTACCTATAATTTGCATCAAAATGTGTAGAACATATCGCAAGTCTAATATTATATACTTATTACCTGGTATACTTAATATCCGATATAATAAGCACTAAATATATAAAAAGGAAATATTATTTGCACCAATATTAAAATTTTATACAAATATTTAAAATTTTCAATTACTGATATAAAATATAAATTATAAAACACAAAAAAATAAATAAAAATATAATTTTAATATAAATTGGTATAATTTATTTTTTTTAATTTAACTCTTTTCATATATTCTAACCGACTTACTTCGCCATCTTGGTATTTCTTCCATTGTAAAATTATGTCTTTGTATCAATATCCTTGAATTTGTACATAAATAAATATGTTTCACTTTGTAATTTTAATAATACATCAATTACTATATGAATGAAACAATAAGCCACATTCAATTAGTCATTTAAATGTGAATGATATAATTCAGCTGCATTTGTAATTCGTGTAATATCATTACCAAAATTTCAACCCAAATTTTAGAAAAAAATATATTAGAATCAAAGTGTTTCTAAAATTTAATCACTAAATTTTGAAATGGTTTAATCTTCAGATGCGATAGAAATTAAAACTGTAAAAGCATTTTAGTTACCTGCTTCGGGTCATGGAAGAAAAACCAAACAAAAAAATACTTCAACCAAATGTCAGAGTTCTTTATTTATTAGTTTCGAAGACCCAAGCTTTGAATTTTCCAAAACCATTATTGCTCTAAATTAAATTTGCAACATTTTATTTTTGAATTTTAAAAAACAGCTAAAAATGCATTATGTGTTGCTATTTCATAATCAACTATAAGTGTTAATGGAGAAAATCTTAAATTATATTTTTCATACAATTTTTAAATGTATTTCCACACTGATTCACAGCATTTTAAAGTTTTACTTATTAGTAAACGGTGAATCGTATGTATATGTAAATAGCTTCGACAACTACAAATGTGTATCGTTTTAGCTGATAAAATAATTTCGAACATACGTAAAATGTACCATCGAAAACTAAAAGTGAACCATTACAAAGATTAAATTTGGTGTTAGAAATATGATTTTAATTACAGTATCTACGAGACAAAACATCTCGTATCTATTAGTTAAAAAAGTTCGATTACTAACTTCATTAATAGCTTCTCCAAAGAATGCGAGGCGTTGTTGGCGATAATTTATGTATTTGTCTGTATATTAAATCTCAAATATTTCCAATACCGTCTGAAACCTTGCAGTATTTTCAATAGCACACAACTCGTAACGCATTATTTTAGATGGTCTGTCAATAATATTTTCAGTTTCTTTGATTTTTTTTTTACATCTATAGCAAAATATATGACACTGGACGTCATGTTCGTTTTTACTATATCGTGTAAACGCTCATCATTAATACGATTAGTACGAACAAATACAGTCATAAGAATATTCATTTCTATTCTAGCAGAATATTTTTATTTATTTATTTATTTATTTATTTTTTGTACACTCAATGACGAATTGCTATTGCCACTGGCCATTTCTCGTTAAAACTTATATTTTTGCTCATTAAATAAAATACATTCAATATCTTTATTAGTTAGTATTAATTTTTTTTTAAATTCATTTTCAACTTACACAAACACTTACTAAGTATCTACGATTTACCTACTAACAATATGTTAAACACAAAACTGCTAACACACTATCGTGTGATAATCTATCATACTCAAACGATAAATTTGTCAATTAAGATTATATTCATTTGGAGTTTTTGAACTATATAATTCTAAATTGAATATTTTTTATCTGGAATGAAGCACACAGGCACGATTAATCTATTTAATCTATTATATATATTAACTATAGCACTCAGGCATCTAGGGTTTTTGGTGCTTTTGTACCATACTTTTTTTTTTTATTGTTATCTCAGTTTGACGCATATATCTTCCCCGGTTTAATTATACGTAATTTATCGATAAGAACTAGAAATCATCGAGTATTTTGGATTGTGATGTGTACCTACATTTTTAGTCTATTATCGAGCATTTCATAAACTAATTTAACAACTTTTATTGAGAGGATGTCAGTACCTACAGTATTTGTTTTTTCTCTGACCTTAGCGTATACATTATTGACAAAAGTCAAATAGCCTACACCTAAAATCGTTTTTTATGAATTATGAACATATTTTACTTAATTTTGTTTTTTGTTTTTTGACTTTGAAATTAATAAATTGTTTTTTAATTTAAATGGATACTAAGTTGTTTCAATATTTAAACAAATTGAAAAGTCAAACCCTCAAAAATGCATGTCGCATTGATATTATCTTATGGAGTAATAGTACTTAATAAATATTACATACATATTATTTTATCTTAAAAAAAAATCTTAAATCTGTTCCACACAACTCGTATACTTGGCGATAAGGTATTTATTTAATCGAAAAACATAACGGTTATATTTTCACTTGCCAAATGCCTGAGTCACTCTTAATATAGTATCCCATCTATTGTAGAAAACTATTACTCAATCTGTGTATCTTTAACCTAATCGAGACTACTGTTTATTGGGTACCTATGTGTCTGTGTGTTATAAAGTCCATCGTTTGCATGACTGATGAATGGTTAATCAAATATCATTATATCATTTTTATTAATCATTATATTATTTATTAGTAGCTACTAATAGCTACTATAGTAATATACCTAGGTAGTCAGAAAAAATACCAACGGAAAAAAAAATCAACACATCCCGGTAATTTTTCTCCACTAACTAGCAAACAAAAAAAACCCATGAATATAAGTCTAAAAGAGCACCACGTAATTGTTGTAAAATATAATATTTAGATAAATGATAAATAATAAAAATTAAACATTTAATAAATGGCATTTTTATTACCTATCCAAATATTGTATATATTTTGACATATAAGTCATGACTAATTAAAAGTACCTAGTACAACTAACATAATTTTTATTGTTAGTTACTAGTTAGGTACACATAACTATGTTTATAGTTATAAGGTAAACAATATACCTTTCAATAAATCGCATTTTTATTACCCAAGTGTTTATTTTAATTATTAATTACAATATAATATTAAAATAATTATTATTTTAAAATCTTAGAATGTTAAAATTCGTAAATTTTTTTAGTGGGTACTTTTTCCGCTGTTATTTTACAGTGATTCAGGTCAGAGATGTATTTCAAGTTTTTTTGGTCCAGGGCTAATCATTTTTGCCACCCCCCATCTGCAATATCAGTATATTGCAACATTAATTATTAAAATATAGGTATACAATTTATAAAAAAAAAATACAGTAACATTTAACTTAAACAATATTCTTTATTAAAAAAAAAAAAAAAAAACAAGTACTCATAATAAAATTATCCAAAATATTTGATTTATAACTTTATCGTTAAACCGAACTCAAAAAAAAAAAATATCAATATTTCGTTAAAAATAGATACCACAAGAATTACGAATCAAAAATATTTCTGCCTCTATATTTATTTTTGCCTCTGTAGTATAACTTTACTATACATTTTTTTTATATAGCTATTATTTCTTTTACATTTATTTTGTATACGTATTAAGTACAAAAATAATACGATAAAAAATAAAAGTGATCTATTATATACATACAGTATAAAAAAAATGTAAATAAAATCAAGTTAATTTTTTTTTAAATCACCCAATTACTTAACATTTTGCCGCCTTTTAAAATTTGCCGCTCAGGACTACAGCCCTGGTTAGCCCTAGTATAAATACGTCCCTGATTCAGAAACTATTGCTACCTATATTGTATTAAATATTATGATAATAATTTTTCATTTAATAGCCAATATACAAATCCTGATTTCTACGGACCTTATCCTTGACTAAATACCTACCAATTGTAAGTAAATTCATAAAAATTATATAAGTATTACACATTTGTATAAAAAGTTTTGGAAAAGTTGTTTTTGTTTGTCAGAAAAAACTGGAGAAACGTTTCTAGTTTCTACAATTCTCCCCTCCCTCACACACACATATAACTTTTAAAAAATTGATTCTAAGTCATACAGATTCTATATTAAATATTTATGAAAAAACGTTTTTTTAAGAATAAGGACTGGGGAAACTTAAGAACTTTTACAAAAAATTCCTGTTTAAAATAATAAAGAGTAAAAAGAATATAGATATGTAAATCACATTATAATATAATACAAAGTAAAGATGACATGAAAATAAATTCATTTGAGAAGAAGAGAGGCCACAACTATTTAAGATTTTGTTTCGATAAATATAAAATAATATATATTACGTTTGTTAATCTTTAACCGTTATCAATATGTAACCATACATATACTTCACTACTTCAGTATAACTGTTTACTAGGTATTAGAATAATTTTATATTTTATCCCATATCCGGGAAACGTAGATATTTAAATAAAAGTATGCAAATACTTTTAACAGTATTCAAATGCTTAACATGTTAAACGTGTTAGTTAACCTAAGGTCTGAAAAATTTTAGAAGCAATATTTACAATTTCGAAGATTTTAAAATAAATACTGTAGGTACTTTATACATCAAAATATAGTATAATATAATGATTAGGTATAATGTTAAATTATTATAATATCTAAATACTTTATTAGAAAGGTAAATAATGGATTAGTAAACGACATTCGACATTATGGTTTCCAGGAGACATTACTTATTTTATTATTGGACGATGGTACAACCACACAATACCCATTAATGATAATTTACGATCGAGTGATAATCCTATCAGTAATTTAAGGCTATGTTCAAATATTGAATTTAAAAAGTCAAAATTAAATAAAACCATATTAATATGTTATTTGATGTTTAAAAACTGAAAAAAGTTGAAAATTGTTTAATAATACCTTGTTCTTAAAAAGTTTGTATTGATATTCTTATTAATGTTATTATATCTAATGGTGTCTACTCAAAAGCCATGTATTTAATGCTGCTGTTGACTTCAATCATAATAATCTAACAAATTATTTTGATCTCCTTACATTTTAAAATTGTATTACTTACGGAAAGGTAATGTTTTTATTAAATAATATTGGACTATTGTTTACAACTATTAGCCTATTATTATCACAATATGTACATGAGTTATTGTCTTAAATTAGTTGTTTTTATGTATTTAAATAATAAAATATAAACAATTAGTGAAGTATATTTCTTTTTGTAACATAACTTTTAAAATTATATCATGTTATCAAACATCTTAATTATTATTTTGAATGTTGTGTTCATAAAACTACTATATTTTAAACTACTTACTTACAAGTTAAATTGGTTGAAATGTATTTAAATTATTATCTTTTTTTCATAAAAATTGTTGATCAGTTATATTATTTTCTAAATTTTTATTATTTAAGCTTAACATTTGATAAAATAGTATCAGTATGTAGATATATCGTATACATATTAGTTATTGTAATCATATATATATATATATTTTTAAAGATATACTTATACAATTTTTTTTTGGGATACCTAAAATATAAAAATAATGTTGTCAACAATGAATTATTTATTATGTGTGCATTGTGTGCTCAGTATATTACTTGTCTAATATTTTTTTATTCATTTATAGGCTGTAAATTTATTATGAATACAATCAGCAAGTATGTGCAGTATCTGCGACAAATACATATATTATCATCAAATACTTTTTGGCATCAGTATACAATTAAACAAAAACACCAGTTTTCAACAACTATCAATTCAACATTTTTAAATTTTTCTTCAAGTAATGTCAATAATCATTCATAATAATTGAATGTTAATAAATTATATTCATAATATTTCAGATTTTATTAAAATAAGACATTTATCAAATACTTTTAGTCAATTGGGTTTATCTGACACAGTTACTACTAATGATATTTTAATAACTAGTATTAAGAATGCAAAACAAACAAGTGATGTACTACAAATGTTACGGCTTCACAGCACTGCAATGAATGCTCAACAACATTTACAAGCATTAAACTCTTTGTTTTTACTGCAGAAAAGTAAAAGGTAAATAATAAAAATATTATTATATTGTTAAAACTATACTATTTAATACTGCTAAGACTGATCAAAATTTATTAAAAGAAATGTATATTATTGTAGGAAAAAATTTTTTCTCTAGCTTTAATATACAATTTGTTCAATAAATTAAAGTGCTTCATTAGCTCAAAGATATATCGTGTATTGTAATGTTCTCTGTAACAACATATTTTTTTAAATTAAGTACTAGGTATATAAATTGTACTTACATTTTATTTTTAGATAATAAATAGTTATCACTATTAATCACATTTAAACAAAATAGTTGATTATTTTCCACAATTAGGTTGTGTAATTACAAATTTTAATGTTATTTATTAACTATAAATGAATTATTTTAATTAGAAAACTCTTATGAACTGAAAATTCAGACAGTTAAATTAAAAATATCTCTAAATTTTCTATTCAAAAATACCATTTATAAAATGTTTGAAAACAATTAGTTGTTGTAAAATAAAAATTAAACAAAATATTTATTAGCATACTAAAATCAAATTAATTGGTAATAAATATCTGTGTTTTTAGAGTTTTGTGATTTAATTAAATGCAAACAACAAAACTAATATATGTATTTTTTTTAAATACTTAATAAGATGTTATTTTATTTACTAAATATAATGATTTTATTTTAGAACAAATTTATCTAAGGAAGAACTAACTCGTAGCCCAGAATTTACTGCAATGTGTCATAAAATTCAAAATTATTCAAGAAATCTTGAGCTAAATGATGTTATGAATAGTGTCAAGTACTTATCTTATTTGGGTGTATCTGTTAACAGTAATATAATGCAAATGTTATTACAGTTAATTAGTAAAATGATAAATGATATGTCTTTACAACAAATCACTTTTTTACATTTTTTATTAAGAGAATTATCATCATGCCCTTTAGTTGATGCTTTAAAGCTTGCACTACCGATTGTTTTCGAAACACAAGTACAATACAAACTAGAAGATAATCTATACTGGCAAGTGGAATTTCTCAATTATATAGCTAAACATAAATTGTCTCAAGAAACATATGATTTTGTTATGTCAAGAATTATAAAAAATATTGATCAGATTAGTCCTAAAATTGTACAACAATTATTACTTTGTTTATACTACAAAAATTATTCAACTGAAAAATATATTGATATAATTAACAGATGTTTACAATATTATATGAATCATCTAGAATACATTGCTGGTATTTCAGACATTGGCGCTATTTTGTCAAGAATGATATATAAGTACTCCACAGAATCTGAGTTGTTTTATAATGAACAATTTATTAATAAAATTGTGGAATTCATAATAAAAAATGAAGATAATTTTGAAAATTTGGGATTCTTATTAAAAAAATTAAATAGAATTGTAAGCAAAATGATATTTTTTATAAATTAATAAAGTTGATAAAATACTAATCATCATTATTTCTTTAGGGATATGTTCACCGTGGTTTACTTGATTATATGACAAATAAACTAACCAGTAAACAAGATATTTTAGAAAATATAAAATTTGGAGTATTATTATCTTATATTGCAGCATGTGCTAATGCAAATTATGTTCCACCAGGTTTTGATGAATTAAAACCACTTATACTGACAAGACTTAACGTTCAAAAAGTATTAATAAATTATTGATAATAATTTAACTTTCGTTAGTTATTCTATTAATTCTATTATTTATTATTTTAGGATGTTTTAGAATTACCATGGTTAGTAGCAACATTTGACTTGGCTGTTTTGGACGTTTGGTCAGAAGAACTGTTAGAAAGAGTATTTTCTAGAGATTTTCTTTATGGGTTCTTGAAACGAAGTAATTTATCGCTAGTTTAATATTTAAAGAAAATCAATGCACTACTTATTACTTTCTAATCCATGGAAATTACTCATTACAAAAATTATAGATAATAATATTTTTAAGGGTATGACATAACTTTTAAATTTACAAAGAAATTTTAATTTGTAATTTAGTTAAATTATATATGTTATACAGTTAAATAATGATAAATCGCTAAACTGATATTTTAAACTCAAAAAAATATTATTCTATATAATTTTTGTAATAGCTTATTTTACTTAATATTGTCCATCTTGCACATACATTAGACTCTAATGATTAAAGAGTAAAAACAAATATTGTGTTGATATCCTTTAAATAGAAATATTTTAAAATTAGTGTCATTAAAGTTAAAAATAATACTGTTATACATTTTTATTGAGTTTATTGGTTCAATTTATTTTTTTTATTTATCTATTTAGGTGATAATATACATGATTATATTATGCTGCTTAAACTGTACCAGGCTTCAACAACTTTATACCCTGGAGGTTATAAAGGATCATTACCACCGCAGGAAATTATTGAAAAATCTATTAAAATTTATCAACATAATATCATTGATTTTCCACTAAAAGCTGCCTTAGAACATGGTTTGGGCGGAAGTGATTATGTTCTAACAGGGGTTAGAAGCAAATTAGGACATTTCATTGGTTTGCAATATTATTTCAATAAGATAAATATATTTTTTTAACATTATAAAATCTATTTTATTTTAGATTATTTAGTGGTGATGAGACCAGGTGGATATCCTGTTGCCATTAAAAATAAGATCAAAGATTCTAAATCATTGTTGCTGGAAAACATTGTTGGTGTTAGTGACAATTTTGCGTGAGTTGATTCACTGACTGTTAATTATAGTTTATTAGTTAATAATAATTCTTATATTTTTTATGTTTTAGGATTGCCATATTACTTTACAAACCAAACAGTTATGTCATCAATTTAAATTGTTTAAGAGGTCCGCACATGCTAACAATTAAAACAATTGAAGCTCTGGGCTTAATAGTTTTACCTGTATCATTAGATGTTTGGGATGGCCTTATTGACTATGAAAAGATACCATATATCATGAGAGAGTTAAAATCAAAGGCTGATCTAAATTTAACTATAAATTAGTGTTGTGCATTGTGTATATTTTATATGTATGTACAAGTATAACAATTTATTTATTAAATTGCAGTTTTGTAAATATACTTTTGTTATTATTTAATGTTATATGGATTTTAGATTTTTTTAGAAATATTTGACAAATTAAAGTTAATACAAACTTATTTTTTAGTCCAATTTCAATGTTGATTTTTGAACAATACTATATAAGGTTTTTATTCTATGTACTTAATTTTGAGTTTCCATAAATATTTTTTTTGAATTATTAAACCATATGATATAATGACCAAACATATTATTTGATATACAATTTTGGGCTAGCCACATTTCTATCCAGATGTCAATTTTTTTCTATCTTTTATGGAGGTTTATTTTAATATAAGCATTATTAGAAATATAATTTCAATATAATACATTTATTAATATACATTTTGTTTTATAGATATCAAAAATCATTTTATGTGTTTTAGTGTTTGGTTATTCTTATTTAATTTTTCCAAACAAAGTATTTAAAAGAGAAATTTGAAATTTTAGACCTTTTTTAAATTAATATCATAACTTAATTGTTTTTAATAAAAAAATTGTAATACACAATTTTAAAAAGTTTAAATAAATTTGTATAATTTTAAATATTATGGAAAGTATTTGAAAGGCTGCAGTTAAAAGTTACACGAAAAGAAATGCATACAGTTTTTAATTCACTCTATTGCTCGTCCCAAAATCAATGAATTTTATTCAAAGAAATATGTTTGGCAACTAAGATACCATGTACTTAAACACTGTAAGAAATTTGGTGTTAGATTACATACCACAGTAACTAGTTATTTTACTTTTAAAAATCTTTTGAAAAAATTATTTAGCTAATTTCATTATAATAAAATTATTATTATAATGTAATAATGTATACATTACATTTTTTAACATAATATTTCTATCTTACTAGTTGTATGAAAATATTTTTCAATTAATGTATTTCTACAAATTACATTAAACCTTGCTTAAATTTTTAGTATAATATTAATTGAACAAGCTTCTTTTTTATAGATAAATAATTATTTGACACATAGTTTATAAAAGTACATCTCTAAAAAGATTGCTTATATCTTTAAATGATATTATTATTTCATAGTATTTAAAATGTTTATAAGGTAGCTTATAAAAACAATTAAAAATAATAATATACTCAATAATTTTAAATTTTAACTGATGTATTGTTATAATTTATTATGTAAGAACCAAAATAAATGTGTAAAATAAACATCATAATAAAATAGATAATATATGTTTTAAAAAAAAAACAACAAATAGAATAGGTTATAAAACAATGTAGATTTTTACTTGTTATATACAATTAACAGCTTATGTAATTTGTGTAGTTTAAACTGTACATAACATAATACTGTTAATTGTATAACTGTATAATATACAATAACAGTATTACAGTATAAACATAATAATGGTAAAATGAAAATAAAAAATAAGTTTAGTAAATCATGTTAAAAACTTGGAAATTATTTTAACAACTTACAACATTTTTTAAGAAAAATAAATAAATTTTGTTAATGACTTGAATAATTACATAATATATTTTACTCTGAGGTTTTTCTTAATATTTATTTCAGTTTTTAAATTGTAAATTATGTTAATGAATTATTTTTTAAACTTAAATATGCAAAATATTATATTAATTGACTATTTTTTTTATGTATATTTATTTATAATTGTTCCTTTAATAATTTAAAACAATTTTAAATACTATGGAAATATACAAACATCTGGAGAAGTATATAAAAATCTTTTTAGGAATTTACTTTTATGTTTTTGTAACATGAAATAACTATTTTGATTAAGTACATAAAATAAACTCCAAGTGAGTATTTTAGATATTAAACATTACCTACATATAAAACACAAGTTTATTAAAATCGAATTTGACTAAAACGTTTAGACCTCAAAGTCATTTTTCTTTCATAGCTCAATATTTTTACACAGTTAAAAAAATGAATTATTTCAGTTGTATAATCCTGAGTTAAAATGTAATTCATATATTATATAGCATGGGAGTCTTAAAAAGTTTTAGTGCCATTAAATAATTTTTATGCCTCCTAAAAATTACATTTACCATGTTATCAAATATTTCATAAAATTAATACTTTTGTATACCTAGCTAATATTACTAGTAATCTTAAAACAATTTGTTATCATTATTATAATATATATTTTATAAATATCTATAATTTGAAATAAATATTTTATTCTTCAGCTGTCAAATTACTTGAAATAAAATTTATTTAAAATTTTAACTTAACACCAATACTGAATGTATTTTATCTATTTTTTTTACTAAGTTCCCAGATTAGCATTATATGTGAAACAAATAAGTTCATTAAGCACTATTTTTCGTGGTAGGTAGGTATATAGTTAGTGTATATTTAGTATTATAGTTTAAAAAGAGATAAAAATGATAATTTTTTACAGGATGCATTAACAGGATTTAGATTAACGATTACAAAATAAATATAAAAAACAAAAACTTATGAAAATTTGTTATATTTTAAATCATATTATGTGACTTCAAAAACTAATAATTTTAAATTTTAATAGAAATCCAACGCGCATTGTAAAAAGTATTTCTTTTTCCGAAAAACAAACATACATGAACATTTTTACTTTAGACATGTTTTTAAACAAAAAACATATTATGTAGGTATAGGCCTTTTAAAAATTTAAAAATTTTAATAAAATTGTAGTAATGATGTAACATTATTAAATTAATTTTATGACGAATTCACATATGTTTTCAGATTAATAAGATAGTCAATACAATAATTGGAAAGACATTAATACTTTTACACGTTATAAATAAAAAAAATAATTAGAGCAAACATAACAGTGCCAAATCATAGGAAGAGGAGGGCATATGTGACTGGAGGCACGTGCCTCCCACTACCGATTTTTTTTTTTTATTGGCCGTAGTATAGAGACTGTACAGTGTACGGAAGTCGGAAATTATAAATTATAAATATATATATTATAAATTATATCATCAATATACTTATATAGTTCAAAGGGAATGTATGATAAATTATTCGTAATTTGTATTTATAAATGCCAGATAGTAATGATGTAATAGTATGATGTTAAAATAATGATCGATTTCAATTTCATTGTTATCTTCAATATTTATTTATAAATACGGGGTACCCGACACTGCACACTGTACTTAATTAGTAATTATATAAAGATGTTAAGTATAATTACTATTCCTAAAATATAATGTTGGTTATAATTTTAAAATAATGTAAAATTAAGACTACCTATTGTTTATTTTATTTTTTGTACTTAGGTACGTCGTACGAATACCTAATACGAACTCATGCCGCCGTACAGTTAGGTACCTAATTATTTATCGCAGTTTCGTGTGCAAACTGTGACTTTCATTACATTTTTATTCACATAAATCCGTTTAGTTACTTCATAATGTTCTTCTTGATTTTTAGCTATCTATCCCATTTGTGTAAGGTCAGCTATTGCTCATTATATATCATATTATAATATGTTTATGAAATTAAAAGTTATGATCTTGTATATAAATGTTAAATATATAGTGTAATAAACATTTAATGAACAAAGGGATCAAAAAGTAATAAGTAGTAGGTAGGTATTCCATCATTAAATAAACTAAAAAAAAAAAAAAAATTATACTATCTAACTATAAAATATTTTTAAGGTCTAATATTTTAAAATTAAAATAAATAAGTAATTTTATTAATTATTAATCAGTTACAATTTGATATGGAATAAAATAACTACATAAAAATTAGTCGACATATTTTATTAAAAATTTAGAGAACTTTCTTATTTAAACACATAAAAATAGTCAGAAATATATTTTTATATATTTTTATTAAAAGTAATAGAGTAACTAGAATATTCAAGAAATGGTTTTAAGCAAATCTTGTTTTTGAAATGTTGCTCTAAAGAATTGTAAGATTTGTAAGTATTAATAAAAAAAAAAACTGTTAAGTTAATAGTTTTTCAAGTTATTACACTAAGAAATTAACATCGAACAAGCGACTTACTTACTATTTAGAAATTCAATATATTTATATTCTAAACAAAACTAAAAACTTTGAATAATATATATTATTTGGACCATATTGATATTATACTTATTTAAAAAATATCTAAAAGTATAAAAAGACTAATAATAAAAAACATTTATTTTAAACATTAGGGAATAAAATTAAGATAAGGTTTATGAATAATATTATTAATGAGTAGGGTTAAGATGTTAATGACTTTTGCATATTTTTTTTTTTTTTAGTCGTGCAGATTGCAGACGCAGTAATAAATTTGTTTTTTATGATAAAGAATCAGATACATTCAATTTTATATTGCATATTTTAGGAATTAGTACATATTTTTCCAAAAATAACTTAAATATAATATAAACTTCGATGTATCGTAAACCCATAGGGTAATTTTCAGTATCTTATCGCAAATGTATTTATGGAAGTTCATTGTACTTAAGAATTTAAGATATTTATTATACTTTTAACATTTTTATATTGTTAGATTATATAGATTATATATAAAAAATTAAAATAGGAATTGTAGTAAGTTAACGTATAAAACGTTTTATATGCGTATATTAACCCTGGTTTATATTATTATATTATTAACTAATCATTATTAAGTAGGTACTTACTTATCTTTACTATAACTCAAAGTTATTTAATCGTGTTTATGGCCCTTAATCGCGATAGTAGAGTGTTGATACTGATAGGACATAATGGACTTACATTATAAAATCTTTAGTTTAGTGTATAGTGCGCCACGGGTACTATGTAGATTAGGGGTCTTAAACCTGCGACCCGCTTTGTTATTTGTGTCCCACGAACAGATTGGATAAAATTAGAGCGGCTATAAGCTATTATTTAAACTTTAAGACATCGCTATCGAAAAAATTGTGAAATATGCAATAAGATAAACTGTATAAATGTTGGCTGTTGCTTGTTAGTTCACTATAATGATACAATATTAAAAGAAAAGTACAATAACG